ACCCCATTATTCCACCCTGTGTTTATAGATGTACAAAAGTACTTCCAGAATTGCTCAGTCATAATGCTGTGAGGAATTTATTTAACGAGAGCAGAGTGTTTGTGTAGAATTCTTTTTGTCTTTAGCCTTACAGTATCCAGTCAAAATGCTTTTTCTGAAGTTATTAGGTCAGCTCCTTTCTTCCCCACCCCTTTCAGTGTGGTCATGTGACTCATTTATAATGCAGGCAGATTCATTTCGCAGCCTGCATGCCATCTTTCTTCCTACGTCCTGGGTGACAAATGCAAAGTCCTGCTTCCACTGCCACAGTTCCAGACAGGGGAGCTCCAGCATCACAAATCCCTCCTACTGCCTTTTTGTATGAAAAAAAAAGCAAACCAAGCAAATATCAATTTAAAAAACTAATGAAGGAGGTAATTTATATAGAAAGGTAAAAATTAAAGAATAAAAATTGAAGCTACTGGGGTGTCTGGCCGGCTCGGTCAGTGGAGCATGTGACCCGATCTCAGGGTTATGAGTTCGAATACCATGTTGGGTGTAGAGCCTACTTAAAAAAATAATAAAGTGCTGAGGAGTATATACTACAGAATGCATAACTATCCCAATTGTGGAAAAACTACAGGTTGCATTTCAGAAAATTTAGGGATTCACACAAATGTTACATAGGTTAATACTTGTTACTGGCGGGAGGGGTGCTGTTAAGAAATAAGAAACTTAATTTTTAACAAAACATTTGGAGGGGTGCCTGGGTGGCTCAGTCGGTTAAGCGTCCGACTTCGGCTCGGGTCATGATCTCACGGTTCACGGGTTCGAGCCCTGGGTCGGGCTCTGTGCTGACAGCTCAGAGCCTGGAGCCTGTTTCAGATTCTGTCTCTCCCTCTCTCTCTACACCTCCCCCACTCATGCTTTGTCTCTCTGTCTCAAAAATAAACAAACTATAAATTTAAAAAAATTGTTTTTACAACCAAGTATTAGCAGAGTCATCTTTTAAAAATAAAATTGAGGTTTCCATAAATGCACTGGAAAAGACCGGACCTCAGGAGAGAGAATGGGGCAAGAAAGGTTTTATTTTCAGCCTGTACTTTTCTATGCTGATTTGAAATTAACAAGCAACCACCTTGTAAAGGCTGTGATGTATTTTTAAAAATCTTGTTGTTGTTTTTTTTTAATTTTAAATGTTTATTTTTGAGAGAGAGCGCCAGTATGTGAGGGAGGGAGGCGGAGAAAGAGAGGAGACACAGAACCTGAAACAGGCTCCAGGCTCTGAGCTGTCAGCATGGAGCCTGACACGGGGCTTGACCTTGGAACCAGCAAGATAATGACCTAGGCCGAAGTTGGACACTTAACTGAAGGAGCCACCCAAGCGCCCCAGGTTTGCTTTCAAATAGACAAATATGGGGAGAGACCACTCAAAGAGAAGGAAAAGCAAGGTATAAGGAAACAGACATTTTTTTATTGCGGTGGTTTATTTGTTTTTGAGAGTGCGAGTGTGGAAAGGTGTGGGGAGAGAAAAAGGGAGAGAATCCCAACTCGGGGCCAAAATCAAGGGTGGGATACTTAACCAATTGAGCCACCCAGGTGCACCAGGCAACTGATATTTCTGATGTCGGGAGAGAGGTGAGTCCTAGGGAGGGAAGCCAAGAAGGCAGGTAGGGAGGCGTCTGGTGGAGACCCAGGAGAGATCCTCCTCCATGAACAGCAAAATCAGGCGCCAGCAGGTCTACCTTCTGAGAAGGTAATAAATGAAGACAGAAGACACGGTGGAATTTAGGGGGAGGGGAGGAGCAGTTGGCTAGCCTCGAACACGTTAATGTACTGCAGAAAATCACCCAGGTTGGGGCACCTGGGTGGCTTAGTTGGTTAAGCATCCGACTTTCGCTTAGGTCATGATCTCGCGGTTCGTGGGTTCGAGCCCCGCGTCGGGCTCTGTGCTGACTGCCAGCTCGGAGGCTGGAGCCTGTTTCAGTCTGTGACTCCCTCTCTCTCTGACCCTCCCCTGCTCACGCTGTCTCTCTCTCCTAGAAATAAATAAAACATTTAAAAAAATAAAAAAAAAAAATAAAAAAAAAAGAAAGAAAATCACCCAGGTCAATAAAAGAAAGGGGAAATGGGACAGGACAAATTTCTGGGTGAAGCTCCTGAGAAAGGAAGGCTCCAGAAGGCAGCTCTGGGGAAGCGCCAACATCGACCTGGGATCTGTGGCCCAGGGAACACAGACAGGCTGTTTGGTGTCCTGTCTACTCACACCTGGGGGAAGGCTGGAGACGGGTTAACACACTTGGTGCCACACATCCTGCTATTTTAACTGCATTATCTCCTTGAGATTTGGGTGCCATCATGGTGCCCCTTTTTAGAGCAGGACATCTAGGCTCGGAGAGGCTGACTTCCCCAAATCCCACCGCTAATGACCAAAGTTCAGTCTATGCCACAGTCTCACTGTCCCCTTGGATTTCAAAAGTTCAGGAACCCTGGACACTTAACCCTGGCTTTAGCGCATCTATATTTCACAACATGCCAGTGAAGTCAACGCCATCAGTTCCAGTTTGGGTAAGAAAACGAAGGCTTCGAGCAGTTAACTACTCTGCTCAGGATCACTCCTGGTGGCAGAGCCAGGGTTCCGACCACAGTCGGTCTCAATCCAGAAACCGTATTCCCAACTTCCACATCTGGTGGCCCTACCCAGGCACTCCTTGGTCTACTGGAACAATAATCCCATGACGCTCTTGACTTTCAGAGACCCATGGCAAACCCCAGAGCTGAGCTGTGGGCTTCCATTCAGGCCCCTGGGCTTCTGGCTTACTCTTCCCTCATTGATCCAGTTGATCCTGAGCATACTGACCAGCTGGGGGCTGAGAGTAGACTGACAACCAGATGCCAACCCTCCCCGCGTCAGGTAAGGCCTCACTCAAAGAGGACAACAATGAAGCAACTTCTAAGAGTTTATTAATGTGAGTTTTTAAAAACAAGCATCCATACCAGTGTGGGGATGAGGGTGGGAGGAGAGGAGAGGAAATGGGAGGGGAGGGTGGTCAGCAGGAAGGAATTCTGCTCTATTGGTAATAAAGCTCCAGGTTCATCCCGTCGTGGATTTCATCTGAAGTAAAGGTGTTAAGGCATTCTCACTGTGGGCTCCATCTCCACCCCCCTCATCTTGCACAGGTGGGTCAGGGTGGCCTGAGGCTCCCACCCTGGGCCAAGGAATGTATTTTGAACTGGGTCATTTTGATTTGGAAAGAATCCAAACCATAAGAAAAAAAAAAAGTTCACCCTCCTTTTGCATAACAGACAGGTCTGAGTCTCACTCCACCCTGACCTCCTGTCCACACTCAGGTCTACTTGAGTTCAGTAATAAATACTTTGACCTTTAAGTGTCTTCTAAGCCAAATCAAAGTATTTCACCACCCACCCTCCTGCCCCAACAAAATAATTACATGGCTCCCATTTTCGAAATGTTTACCGTGTGCTGCCTACTAAGTTAAACACTTCATGCACACAATCTCATATAGACTCCAGCACTGAGCAAAGAGAACCGAGTCTGGTGTGCAGACCCTTCCTCAAGAAGTCACACAAAGGATACAGTCTCCCAGAGACACATGGTCCTTAAAAATCGTGTACCTGTGGGATAGAAACCTTTTAGACAGAAGCCTAAGGGGGCTTTTCATACTGGAGGGGAGCTGAGGAAGCCCCACCCAGGCAGAGGGCTGCCTGCAGGGCTGTGGAACCCAACGTCCGGACTGGTCCTGTCCAGCGCCCAGTTCTACCACTGCACTTACCACTTCTTCAGGACGATCTTGTTCCAACGGGTGCCAGTTTGGGCTGCGATTAGCTTCTTAAGGTCCCCGATGGTGTCATCAGTGCTGGGCGCAGAGGAGTTAAGGAAAATGGAAGGGGGAGGTAGAACGTGGCAGAGGGCATTCCAGGGCTGAATGCACTCTGCCAGGCCCCCGTCCAGCCCCTCACCCCGGTTTAACTAAAGTCACCCCACAACACAGCCTGAGGTGCCGGCCTTATGCCAGGCACCGCGGGAACCACTGCCTCTCGGCCGCCGGTGGATACTTGCACTTAACGCGGACCTTCTTCCCCAGACGGTCGTTGCAAACAACCTCGATCATCCTGTCTGGAGCTACACGGGGCGCGGGGTGGAAGGCAGCAGAGTCAGCCCTTCAGGGGTCTCCCAGGACCCAAGACCCCGGGGTTTGGGTCCGATGTTCACCCCCTCAACCTCCCAGATCCGTGTCCTCCAGGGCCCCAAGTCCCAGGACCGCGCACCCCAGGTAGCCGCGCCTCCCCTTTCCAGGTCGCCCGAATGGCCGGCCTCGTCTCTCGCAAGGGCACAGACCCTTGATGGCCGGGTCCCATCAGCTTTCCCCGACTCTATCTGGACCGCTCTACCTGGCCCCTTACCTCGAAACGCCTAGAATCCGCCGACGCCACAACCTCCTCTCTCGAGGGCGGAACCCCGGTCAGAGCCGGAAGCGGAAGTGCACAACCGGAAGCGTCAGCCCCTGCTCCCTGCTCAACACCCCTCCGACTTCTTTCCGGTCGGGTCCCGGGGCCCAGGATGGGTATGCGGGTCCCGGGAGCGGTACGAGGTCCCGAGCCCGGGTAGGGAACACCTGTCGTGGGTGCATGGGGGACAAGTCGGGGTCTCGGCCCCTGCCTGGCCGGGGAAGGGGCGTGGAAGGAAAGCCATTGGTCAGGGACCGGCGCCCAGCCCGCTGGAAACCGTTGGTTGAGGCCCCTTAGATGGGAGAAGCCGTCTTGTGTGGCGTCCGGTAGGAGCTTGGGGCGGGGCGTTTCTGGGGACATCCCGTGGGGGTAGTGACCTCCCGGTTTTGAGCCCGACGAAGCCTCTTAATTGCAGCTTCAGGGCTATGGGGAGCCTGGATCGAGTCATGCAGTCATCTGGTCTGGCCCTTGCCTGCATTCAGGGCTGGGCCTTGGAAGTGTTTTGCTCACCCCTCCCCTTTGGCTGTCGCGCCTGCCCCCCCCCCCCCCCGGACACCTGGGCGCAGACTGCGGTCAGGAAGCAGAGGAGCCGCCTGATGCCGTCCTGGACGCCAGCACTTAGAATGGAGTCCAAGTTGCACGCCAACCGGCAACACCGGCAAGTAAACCGGAAAGGGCACAAAGGCAGAATCGCTCTGGTTTGTGTCTTCAAGGAAGGTCGCTCCCGCCCTGCAGAGCGCAGTTTGTACCCGATCTCAGCCATGCCGGTCAGTGCCGAAGAAGCCCCTGGACTGGTCTGATTCTCCAGAGCTGGTGGGACAGGGGGTGCCCCTCTCTAAGTCCAACCAGACAGCTACCAAGGGAACTAGTCAACCATTCTTTCTCAGCAGACAGGATTTTCCCCGTTTGGTGACCCGGAAGGGATTCGCCCCGAAAACGAGCCACCACTTCTGGTTTGCCCAATCCATCTTCTCAAACTGGGATGTGAGATTAGGTGTTAGACGTGAGAGGCCATCCTGTGGGAAGGGCAGGTGCTCTGGGACCCGTGGGGTGCTGACCTGACTTAGGGAGCTGGCCCAAGAGGTCCTACCACAAACACGAGGTTCAGGGGCCTTTCTGCTCAGAACTTTGACCTGTGACTCCTCAGAGAGCCCTTCTGAGTGCTCGTGAGAGGGCCGCCAGTCTGAATGGAAGACTTAAACTCAGATTGGAGACACAGGCTTTGGATTTAGACAGATGAGTCAAAACCTCAACATTACCCCTTAATATTAAACTATATGATTTCAAGTAAGACAGTTACCCACACTTATTCTTTTTTTTTTTAAATACTTTTTAAAATTTATTTTTTGAGAGAGCGAGCAGGGAAGGGACAGAGAGAGAATCCCAAGCAGGCTCCCCACCGTCAGCACAGAGCCCGATGTGGGGCTCGAAGTCATGAACCATGAGATCATGACCTGAGCTGAAACCAAGAGTTGTAAGTTTAACGGTCTGAGCCACCCAGGCGCCCCTACCCACATTTATTCTTTTTTTCATCTACGGAAAGGGGACAGCAATTCCCACTCTAGGATTGTAGTAAGAATTGGTCTTGGACCAGCCTCTGACAGTTCTTTAAGAATTTACACAAGAGGCGCCTGGGTGGCTCCGTTTGTTAAGCGTCTGACTTTGGCTCAGGTCATGATCTTGAGGTTCTTGAGTTTGAGCCCCGCATCGGGCTCTGCTGGCAGCACAGATCCCGCTTCAGATCTTCTGTCCTCTCTTCTCTCTGCCCCTCCCTGGCTCATGCTATCTCTCAAAAATAAATAAACAAGGGACAAGGGCAGCCCCAACCCCCTATCTGAGCAGCAGCAGGTGTGCTGTCTGAGGTGCTGGCCTAGGGAGAAGGTAGGTGCTTCCCGGGAGGAAGAATTCTGGGTCACAACCCAAGGAGCAAGCTGGTCAGGCCCTCTCTGCCCCCTGTTTCCTGGGTTTCTGACCCAGAGGAAGGATCCACTATGTGAGGATTTCTTCCCTCCATCGTTGAATGCTGGTGGAGCAGGAGATGGTTCTTAGGAACCCCTTATAACTGAGCAAGGGGCTCAGTTATAAGGGAACATTTGGGTTCTGCTGAACTTAAAAGCAGTTGCCACGCCTGAGGCTCACCAGAGGGGAAAGAATCTTAGGGGCAGAGGGAATTGCTTACGAGTTCCCTTTCCCCAATGTCTCAGCCTGTCAGCAGGACTTGGAGGGACAGCAGTGACCAAGGCTGACCCACTACCCCAGAATTCAGTCTGACAGAAGAATAAGACAAATGAAGAGGTCTTCTGTACGATGTGACAGATGCTGTGAGGGGGAAGCCCAAGGTGCTGGGAGCAAAGACATCATTCCCCATGCGTGATGGCATTGGCTTTCCAGAGGATATCAAGACCACAGAGGACTGTGCTAGAGGGCTGTACTGTGGCATCAGATCTTAGCTGTGGCCCTGGGAAGTGACTTGGCCTCTGGAGGATTCTTCTGGTCTTTCCACAGTTGCAAGATGGTTGCGGAAGCATGAAGCATTTTTTTCTATATCTTTGTTTGAGGAAAAATATCAAAGGGTGTTGATTTCTTAATAAACATTTGGAACTTTTGTTTTCTTAAGGCAATAATTGCACGTGGTAAAAATTCAAGCCATGTAAAAGTACATCTATGACAGCATAAAGTCTCGTTACCCTTCAGATCCCAGCCCTCCCCAGGGGCAAGTACCATTAAAAGTTTCCATTTTCTAGAGAAAGTCCTGCATCTTCTAAAGTGTGATAGGGAGCCTCCCAAGAAAATGATTAAAACTTTCAGATGTTAACACATTTCAAAAGAGACAGACACTTTGTATTTTGAAGTAACATACAATATTTTGAATTATATCAAAGGGCAGAAACGAATGACTTGGTTTTTATACAGGTCTTCACGTATAAAGAGTGAAAAATACAGGGGCTCCTGGGTGGCTCAGTCAGTTAAGCATCTGACTTTGGCTTAGGTCATGATCTCACAGCTCATGAGAGGTCATGATCTCACAGCTCATGAGAGGTCATGATCTCACAGCTCATGAGTTTGAGCCCTGCGTCGGGCTCTGTGCTGACAGGTCAGAGCCTGGGGCCTGCTTGGGATTCTGTGTCTCCCACCCTTTCTGCCCCTCCCCTGCTCACACTCTATCTCTCTCTCTCCTTCAGAAATAAATAGGGGCACCTGGGTGGCTCAGTCGGTTAAGCGTCCAACTTCGGCTTAGGTCATGATCTCACTACTCATGGGTTTGTACCCCACATTGGGCTTGTGCTAATAGCTCAGAACCTGGAGCCTGCTTCAGATTCTGTGTCTCCCTCGGTCTCTGCCCCTCTCCACTCGCACTCTATCTCTCTCTCTCAAAAATGAATAAATGTTAAAAAAAATTAAAACGAGCGCCTGGGTGGCTCAGTTAGTTAAGTGTCCGACTTCGGCTCAGGTCGTGATCTTACGGTTTGTGGGTTCAAGCCCCACGTCCGGCTTTGTGCTGCCAGCTAGCTCAGAGCCTGGAGCCTGTTTGAGATTCTGTCTCCCTCTCTCTCTGACCCTCCCCTGCTCACGCTGTCTCTTTTCTCTCTCAGAAATAAATAAAACATTAAGAAAATAAGACAATTTAAAACAAAAAACAAAAATAAACATTAAAAAAACAAAAAAGTGAAACATAATTGTGTGCATTTTTTGGAGATCTATGTAAATCAAACTACCCAGTGATCTCTACACCTTTTGCTTTTTTTTTTAAATTTTTTTGCTACTATGAACAATGCTGCTCTAAGCATTTGTGTCTTTTTTTTAATGTTTTTTTTTTTTTGAGAGAGACAGAGTGTGAGTGGGGGAGGGGCAGAGAAAGGAGACACAATCAGAAGCAGACTCCAGCCTCTGAGCTGTTAGCACAGAGCCCAGAGTGGGGCTTGAACTCACAGACTGTGAGATAATGGCCTGAGCCAAAGTCAAATACTTAACTGAGTAAGCCACCCAGGCGCCCCTGCTTTTTATTTTTATTTTGAATTAAAAAAAATGTTTATTTAGTTTGAGAGAGAGAAAATGCAAGCAGAGTAGGGGCAGAGAGAGAGGGAATATCCCAGGTAGGCTCCTCGCTGTCAGTGCAGAGCCCGATGCAACGCTTGATCTCATGAACAGTGAAATCATGACCTGGGTCAAAGTCAAGAGTCAGATGCTCAACCGACTGAGCTACCCAGGCTCCCCTACACCTTTTGCTTTTTAAAGCGATCCTGGAGATTGTTTGAAATGCCACAGAAAGACGTACCTCATTTTTTTTTTTTTAATAGCAATTTGAGATCCTAGACATGGGTTTCTTGGGTCCAATAGAGGCTGATATATTGCTAAATTGCCTTCAAGAATTTGAATCAATTCTGCCCTTTCTGCAGGGGTGAAAGAGTCTGTTTCTTCACACCAAAGCCAGTGTGTGTATTTTCCAGTTTCTTCATCTTTTTTAAGCTGATAGATGGAAACCATAGTGTTTTACTTTTTATTTATTTATGGATAAGTGTGCGCATACTGATGTATTTCTTTTTAGCTTTACCGAAGTATAGTTGACAGGCAAAATTGCACACATTTAATGTTCACATTTTAATGAGTTTAGCTTTTTTGAATTTTTTAAATGTTTGTTTACATTTTTTTTTAAGTTATTTGTATTTAGGGGCTCTTGGGTGGCTCAGTCAGTTAATCCACCCACTTGGGATCAGGCCTTAATTTCATGGTTCATGAGTTCGAGCCCCCCCATTGGGCTCTCTGCTGTCAGCACAGGTCAGCTTCAGATCCTCAATCTCCCGCTCTCTCTGCCCCTCCCCTACTTGTGCATGTGAATGCTCTCCCACCCCCGAAAAATAAACATTAAAAAAAGTCTACTTAATTTTAGTAATCTCTAAACCCATTATGGGGCCCAAACTCAAGGCCCTGAGATTGAGTCAAATGCTCTTCTAACTGAACCAGCCAGATGTCCCTGTTTTGCATTAAAAAAAATTTTTTTTAAGTTTATTTTGAGAGAGAAAGTGCGAGTAGGGGAAGGGATAGAGAGTGTGGAGAGATTGAGAATCCCAAGCACGCTCTGGGCCATCAGAGTGGAGCCCAAGGAGGGGCTCAAAGTCATGAACCAAAATATGACCTGAGCCAAAGTTGGAACTTAACCGACTCAGCCACCAAAGTGCCCCATCCATTTCTTTTTAAAACAGTTTTCAGCATCTCCAATTTCTGCGTGTGTGTGTGTGTGTATGTATTGAAAACATTTATTGCCATTATAGGCTCTTGGGGGAATGGTTTAGGAAAACCTCAGTATTAAATTTCACATCCCTTTTGACCCATCAAACTGACTCCTGGTTATTTATCCAATAGAAATAATAACATGGGGGGGGAGGGTAGGTGCCTGGGTGGCTCAGTTGATTAAGCGTCCGACTTTGGCTCAGGTCATGATCTGCCTGTTCAAGCCCTGCATCAGGTTCTGTGCTGACAGCTCAGAGCCTGGAACCTACTTCAGATTCTGTCTCCCTCTCTCTCTGCCCCTCCCCTGCTCTCTCGCTCTCTCTCTCAAAAGTAAGTAAACATTAAAAAATTAAAAAAATAAATAAAAACATGAGACGTATATGTATATACACATGTATAGACATATATAAAATAATATTTAGCTCCAATATTGTCTGTGTAACAACTCTGGAACAGCTTGAATACTCATCAATATAGGGATGTTTGGAAAAAATTCAGTGCTCTTATGAATTGCTAATTTAAAAATGAGTGATGGGGTAGCTGGATGGGTCACAGTACAGCATGTGACCCTGGATATCAGGGTTGTGGGTTCAAGTCCCACGTTGGGTATAGCAATTACTTGAAAATAAAATCTTAAAAAAAAAAAAAAAAAATGAGTGATATGGTGCCCCTAGCTGGCTCAGTTGGTACAGCATGTGACTCTTGATCTCAGAGTCATGAGTTCAAGCCCCATGTTAGGCATGGAACCTACTTAAAAATGTCTAAATTTATCTCCAGGTTGTACATTCAAGACCCACAATGGGTGTAGAGATTACCTAAAAATAAAATCTTAAAGGGGCACTGGATGACTCAGTTGGTTAAGCATCGGACACTTTTTTTTTTTTAATTTCTTTTTGAGAGAGAGACAGAGTATAAGTAGCGGAGGGGCAGAGAGAGGCACAGAATCTGAAGCTGCTTCAGCCTCTGAGCTGTCAGCACAAAGCCCGGTGTGGGGGGCTTGAACCCATGAACCACAGGATCATGACCTGAGCTGAAGTTGGACACTTAAGCAACTGAGCCACGAGGCACTCAAGCATTGGACTCTTGATTTCTGCTCAGCTCATGATCTCACAATTTGTGAAATGGAGCCCTGTGTGGGACTCTGCTAACCGCACAGAGCCTGTTTAGGATTCTCTCTCTCCCTTGCTCTCTGCTTCTCCCCTGCTCTCTTGTGCGTGCATTCGCTCTCTCTCAAATAAATTCTTAAAAAATTATAAAATCTTAGGGGTACCTGGGCGTCTCAGTTGGGTAAACATCTGACTCCTGATTTGGGCTCAAGTCATGAACTCCCTGTTGTGGTATGGAACCAGGCATCCGGGCAACAAGCTGGGCGTGGAGCCTGCTTGAGATGCTCTCTCTCTGCCCGTCCCCGCACATGCACGCACTCTCAAAAACAAAACAAAATAGAGGCGCCTGGGTGGCCGAGTTAAGCAAATGACTTGGCTCAGGTCATGATCTCGAGGTTTGTGAGTTCAAGCCCCGTGTCAGGCTCTATGCTGACAGCTCAGAGCCTGGAACCTTGCTTCAAATTCTGTGTCTCCCTCTCTCTGCCTCTCCCCTGCTCGTTCTCTCTGTCTCTCAAAAATAAGTAAATGATAAAAAATTTTTTAAAAGAACGACATACATTTGGCAGGAGTGTCAATTCAGCGTCTGTGGAGAACAACTTGGCTCTACCAATCAAAATGAAAGGTTGAGTCCACCCTTTAACAAGCTGTTTTGGTTCTACAAATTCACTCTTGTTTGTAGGCATCAAAAAGCATTATTAGATACAAAAGCTAGGGCCTCGCTCTCCTTTAGGCCAGCCGTTAGTCGTCCCGCCCCAACGTGGCTCTCAAGACTCCGGGCTTGGCCCTGGGGTCTGTAGCCCCGCCCACCCAAGATTCGCCGTGCTCCGGGCTTGTCCCGCCCTTAGGCCCGGCCGGGGGCCGCCCGTCAACAATCGAGCCACTTATCCCAGGCTGGATCCCAGTTCCCAGCCCCGCCTCGAGCCTAGTTCCCGCCCCAAAGTCGTCCCTGGGTCTCCGGTCACCGCCCCAGGCCCGCCCCTGAGCCCCTAGTCACTGTCCGGTCCCTGCCTCCCGGCTCTGTCCTAGCTCCAGCCCCGCCCACAGCCTTGGCCCCGCCCCGACCCCGCCCCCGGATTGCATCACCGCCTCAGCCACGCCTTCCGGGCTCAGGCCTGGTTCCCAGCGCTTCGCCTGCGCTCCGTCCAGATAGTGGGCGGGCGTGTCGCCGCGGCCCAGGCATGTCGCGGCGAGAGGAAAGCTGACTCTCCGCCGGCTGCTGGAGGCGGCGGCCACCGCCCTGCCGGCACCCCCAGCCACCCGCCGCCTGCCGGCGCCCGGAGAGCGAGATCCCGAATCCCCTTAGCCACCAGCGGAAGTGCGTGTCGGCGGGATCATGGCGACTCTGGCGGACCTGCCGGACTCAGTTCTGTTGGAGATCTTCTCTTACCTCCCGGTCCGGGATCGAATTCGCATCTCCAGGTGCGGCCCCGCCCCGCGGGGGGTGGGGTGGGAAAGGGCCGGGCGGGGGCGAGGGATGCACCTTGAGATACGGATCCGGTTCCCGGGGATTCGCGGTTAGTGTTTTTAACGGCGGGTCCCCTCCCCCAGGGTTTGTCACCGCTGGAAGAGGCTGGTGGACGACCGGTGGCTCTGGCGACACGTCGACCTGACTTTGTACACGGTACGCGGGGCCAACCCGGCGGGCATGGGGCGCGGTCGGGTCTCCGGGCCGCGAGGCCCACCCCTTGCACCCTAGATTTCGAGCTTGGCAGTCCAGGGCGCATCCCGGCAGCGTCCCTTACCCCGCCCCTCGGTGACCTCCGGGCCTGTGTCCTCATCTCCAAAATGAGGATAACCAATATCGTGCAGGGAGCTTAGAGCAGTGTCTGGCGTACAGAAAGCATATGACAAATGTCTCCTGATTACATTAGCTGTTAATGAGTTTTCCTGGAGAAATCATTCTCCAGATTCAACTTAATTTCCAGAATTTATTTCCTGAGTAGTGCAACTGAACCTCTTCCACGTTTTCCCACTTGCATTGTATTTTTCTCCTTTTCTTGTGTACTATTTCAAATATATATATAGAAATGTATAGAGGATAATAATTTAACCCATTTTAACCTTTAGTCTTTTTTTTTTTTTTAAGTTTATTTAGTTTGAGAGATAGAGGGAGCAGGGGAGGGCCAGAGGGAGAGGAAGGGAGAGAGAATTCCAAGCAGGCTCTAGTTCTGAGCTTGGAGCCCAACCTGGGGCTCAAACGCACCAACCATGGGATCATGACCTGAGCCGAAATCAAGAGTCAAATGCTTAAGGTACTGAGCCACCCAGGCGCCCCTAACCTTTGGTCATTTTTTGCTGCAGATCATGTGAAACATACATGAAAAGGCTTATGTGTATGTATATCCATGTGACGTTTTTAGATATGTTCATTGTATTTTTTGAAACCCTTCTTCAGAGGTGACCACTATTATAAAATGGATTTGTGGTATTCCTTTTACATTTTTGTTTACTTCCTGTGTGAGTACCCATAAGCAATATACAATTTTTGTTAATGTGTTTCTAATGTTGAAATAATGCTATTCTGCCTAGGTAATTAAGTGCTATTTATTACATATCCACAGATGACTTCATTCATACAATATTGCTTTTCACACATATCAATCTAGTTCCTTCCTTTCAACTTGTCAAATGAATATACCACAATTTGTTTACCTATTTACCTGTTGACAGACCTTTAGGTTATTTCCAACTTTTTACTACTGTGAACAGTGTTATGAAGTAGAGTGAAACTTTCCTGTGTATATGAATCACCTAAGAATCTTGTTAAGATGATGATTCTAGGGCATCTGGCTGGCTCATTCAGCAGAGCATGTAACTCTTGATCTCGGGGTTGTGAGTTCAAGCCCCACGTTGGGCGTAGAGATAACTTAAAAATAATTTTAAAAAAATAATAAAAAAATAAAGTGCTGATTATGATTCAGTGAACTGGGTGGGACCCCAGATTCTGAATTTCTAACGGCCTCTCAGGTTTTATGCGAGGCACAAATTTTACACTATGCAGTTTCTTTTTTCTATTTTCTTTCTTTCTTTTTTTTTTTTTTTAATGTTTATTTATTTTTGAGAGACAGAGAATGTGCAAGCAGGGGAGGAGCAGAGAGAGTCCAAAGCAGGCTCCCTCCATGCCTCTAGCACAGAGGCCAACATGGGGCTCAAACCCATGAACTGTGAGATCATGACCTGAGCTGAAGTGGACTCTCAGTCTAGCCACGCAGGCACCCCTATGGTCTTTTTTTTTCTTAAAGGCTAAATGCACATACAATGAAATGCAGGGTGCTTCCGGTTACATTTTGTTTATTTTTCAATAATTAACTTCCCAGGGTTAAGTTTTACAGTTTTCACCATTGTGATTTTCATTATTATTATTATTATTTTGAATGTTTGTTTATTTCTGAGAGAGAGAGAGAGAGAGCGGGACCAGGGGAGGGGCAGAGAGAGTGGGAGACACAGGGTCTGAAGCAGGACATGGGGCTTGAACTCACGAACTGTGAGGTCACAACCTGAGCTGAAGTCAGACATTTAACCCACTGAGTCACCCAGGCGCCCCTATTATCATTATTTTTTTTTAAACATGGCTTTAATTTACTCTGGGCAGTTGTAGCCTTTTTCAATTGGATTTTGTGTCACTTCTTCCTAGTGGCAGTGGGCATTAAGAAAGGGATAAAATGCTGGTGACCTGTTTGCTTTCTCACTCTGGATAACAAGGACACCCCTCTGTTGCTTCAGACAGATCTGTTATGATTTTCTGTTTTCCCTCATTGCTTTTGTTCAAACCTAGAAGTCAAGGGGTGCTTGGGTGGCTCAGTTGGTTAAGTGTCCGACTTTGGCTCAGGTCATGATTTCACGATTTGTGGGTTTGAGCCCCGCGTCGGGCTCTGTGCTGACAGCTAGCTCAGAGCCTGGAGCCTGTTTCGGATTCTGTGTCTCCCTCTCTCTCTGACCCTCCCCGGCTCATGCTCTCTCTCTCAGAAATAAATAAAAACATTAAAAAAAAAATTAAACAAACAAACAAACCTAGAAGCCAAAATGATGGGGTTAAATTGTCCTGTTATCCCTGGGGAGGTGCGTGGTGAGATGAGGCTGGCGGGGGAGGGCAGAGGCCTGGGGGGGGACATTGCCGCAGCTGGGGCTGGTCCATCTCCAGGCAGGCAGGGGTCGTGGAATATTCTCCATATCTCTCACGCTGTCACCCGCATCCCCGGCTCTTACAGATGCGGCCTAAAGTCATGTGGCACCTCCTTCGCCGGTACATGGCTTCCCGGCTCCATTCCCTGCGGATGGGCGGTTACCTGTTCTCAGGCTCCCAGGCCCCTCAGCTGTCCCCTGCCTTGATGAGGGCCCTGGGCCAGAAGTGCCCCAACCTGAAGCGTCTCTGCCTGCACGTGGCCGACCTGACCATGGTGCCCATCACCAGCCTGCCCTGCACCCTGAGGACCCTGGAGCTGCACAGCTGCGAGATCTCCATGGCCTGGCTCCTCAGGGAGCAGGACCCCACCGTGCTGCCCTTGCTCGAGTGCATCGTGCTGGACCGAGTCCCCGCCTTCCGCGATGAGCACCTGCAGGGCCTGACGCGCTTCCGCGCCCTGCGGTCGCTGGTGCTGGGCGGTACCTACCGCGTGACCGAGACGGGGCTGGATGCGGGCCTACAGGAGCTGAGCTACCTGCGGAGGCTGGAGGTGCTGGGCTGCACCCTGTCAGCCGACAGCACCCTCCTGGCCATCAGTCGCCACCTCCGGGAGGTGCGGAAGATCCGGCTGACCGTGAGGGGCCTCTCGGCCCCCGGCCTGTCTGTCTTGGAGGGCATGCCGGCCCTGGAGAGTCTGTGCTTGCTAGGCCCTCTCATCACCCCAGAAATGCCTTCCCCGGCTGAAATCCTCTCTTCCTGCCTTGCCATGCCCAAGCTCAGGGTCCTTGAGCTGCAGGGGCTGGGGTGGGAGGGTCAGGAGGCCGAGAGGATCTTGTGTAAGGGGCTGCCCCACTGTGTGGTCATCGTCAGGGCCTGCCCCAAAGAGTCCATGGACTGGTGGATGTGACTGTACCACGCATCCACGTCACCTTTCATGGCTGAGCCCCAGACCCTCCGAATAGTGCCTTGCAGAGGGCCTGTAATCGGGCTGCACGGGCCTGAGAGCCTTGGGGCCTCCGGACAGTTCGAATCCCTGTTTGCCAGTTGTTTGGCCTCCGTGACATTAGCCAGCCTCTCGGAGGGCCTGTCCCCACATCTGGAAGTGGGGAAGATCATACAGCTACCTCATGGTTACATTGTGAAGCCTTACTCTCTACCAGCCCTGGGCCGCAAGGGTCCTCGATGACAGGTCGTTCTCAGGAACAGGATGGATGCAGCAGGGTGGGGTTAGGATTAGGGGGACCTGAGGGACCAGGGCCCCTTTAGGAGTCCCGGAAAGACCGTCTATGCATGTGCACCCCCACACCGACACACCATTGATACACGAGGGACAAGATGAGAAAGCCAAGGAAGACTTCTGCTTTGACGATCGAAAGTGTCAATGAAGGTTTCAGTTGTATTTTTGGTATTTTGGTATTCCATATTTTCCAGTTTTTCCACAATATATATTATTTTGCTATTAAAGAAAAATAATTTGTTTTCCAAGAGCATTTGGTTTATTCATTCAACAAACATTTCTTATGTGTCCATTATTTCGCAGGCACTGTTCGAAGCCCTGGGGCCACAGCAGTGAACAAAACAAGACCTGAGCAGACAGCAGGGCGATCAGCTGCTGAACACATTGATATGATAATTGTAGAGACTGAGACGATTTAAAGTTTTTTTAATGTTTGTTTATTTATTTTTGAGAAAGAGACAGTGTGTGAGCATGTGAGGAGCAGAGAGAGGGAGGCAGAATCTGAAGCAGGCTCCAGGCTGTCAGCACAGAGCCCAATGCGGGGCTTGAACTCACAAATCGTGAGATCATGACCTGAGCCAGAGTTGGACGCTTAACCGACTGAGCCACCCAGGCGCCCCAAGACAGATGATTTTAAGCTAGGCTTACGTGATGGAGATTTCTGTGTCTGGTGGAGTGGGTGGGGTGAGCCCCTCAAGTCTGGAGACCCGAGGGGTGACGAGGAACCCACTCTGGGAAGTGCCAGGGAAACGAAGGTCAAGACCCTGAGATGGGAATGAGCTTGATTATCTTTCAACACAAGGAAGAAGATCTGTGTGGCCGAGAAAACAAGAGGTGAGCAACAGGAAGCAAAGTGAGAGAGCTGATGGGGTGAGGTTGGAGGGTCCCCACAGGTGGCCCAGGCTTTATGGGTTCAGAAAGTAGCAACTCCTTTTCCTGCCTGTTGTGTCTGAGCCACTTGAAAGACACAGGTGGCAGGCTGATAGCGATCAGGGGCGCCTGCCCTTGGGATGAATGTCACTTCTGACCCGAGCTGGGTAGGAGGGCGTGTATGAACTCTCCAGGTTCACCACCGGCCCGCCAGCCCAGCCTGCCTGCTCTGCGGTGGGCCAGAGCCAGAAGAGAAAACGGAGCTGAGCTGATATCCTTGGTTACTTGTTCCAAGCTCGCTTCTCAGAGGGCCTGGATGTCTCTCCTGTGCTTTCCCGCTAGCGGGTGGAGCGGAAGTTTTCCATCAGGCCACCTGAGGACTATGGTACGAGTGCTCCCCCAGTGTGGCCATGGTTGGGGTCTACCTGTCCCATGCTGTGATCAAATCTGGCAGCTCCGGCCCAGGGCACCTGGGGGACGAGATCGCTCTAGGCTGGGGCGTTAGGACTGAAGAAGGCTCAGGTTGGGACAGGAGATCGTGTTGTGAGGGTGTCTGCAGGCCTGAGGTCTGCTGTGGCGAGTGTGCTGGAGGGGCCAGCCCCCCTCTGATGCCGGGCTCTGCTGGTGGTCCTGGAGCAGCTCGAGGACAAAGAAAAAGTTTCCTTCCTTTCTTCTTCCTGCTTTTCCTGCAGAAAACGGAGCAGCGGGCATGAAGTTGGAGGCCATGGTGCACCCGGAAGTGCTTAGCAACCAGCACCAGCAAGTGGTGTTGGGGGGAAGACCTGATTTGTAGTGTGTGCCGATTTCCGTGGTGTAAGTGGCTGGTTTCATGCTACCAATAGTCTAACCACTGGCTCACAAAGTTCCTGCAAGTTTAACACTTGGCCCTCCTGAGCTGGCCTGGGCTGCCTTCAGCATGCCACTCGCGGGCGGTGTCTTTCTCCCGGGCCCACCCCACTTTGGTGACCCCTTCCCTGGGCTTAGCTCTGAGGGCTGGTAGCATTATGGCAGAGCTTCCATCCCTGTCCACTGCCTTCTGGACAAGGGGCCGGGGATATGAGGATGCCCTCTGTTATAAAATGTACCTGAGATCTGTTTTAATCACGTAAGGTAGGGGCGCCCAGGTGGCTCAGTGGGTTGAGTGGCCGACTTCGACTCGGGTCATGATCTCACAGTTCATGGGGTTAAGCTCCGCGTCGGGCTCTGTGCGGACAGCTCAGAGCCTGGAATCTGCTTCTAGTTCTGTGTGTGTCTCTCTCTCTGCCCCTCCCCCATTCATGTTCTGCCTCTTTCTCTCAAAAATAAATAAACTTAAAAAAATCTTTTTTCAAAAACCACGTACGGTGATGGACACAGAGACAACCATCTTTGGAGGAAAACTTTATTACAGTAAAACCTCGGTTTGCGACCACAATTTGTTCCGGAAACATGCTTGTAATCCAAAGCACTTGTATATCAAAGCAAATTTCCCCAGAAGAAAGAATGGAAACTCAGATGATTCATTCCACAACCCAGAAATATTCATATAAGAATGATTACAATACTGTAATATAATACAAAATAATAAAGAAAATACAAAATATAAAGAGAAAGAAACAAACTAACCTGCGCTTACCTTTGAAGACTTTCGTGGCTGGTGTGAGGAAGACAAGAGAGAGGAGAATGATTGTGTAGGACGACTTTCACTATCACTAACGGAATCACTGCTGTCTATTGGCTCAGTGGAATCTTTCTTGTCGTGCACCTTTAACAAGGAATCTATCAATGACACTTGTTTTTGCCTCCTTTTGAGGATTTCGCCGGGATGTGGCATTGCATTGTCGTTAAACAGATTCACCGCTTGCACTGCTACAGCCTCATTCAGGTGGCACTTTTCTACAAAATCTGGCACTGCTTCCCACATTTTACACATCTCCCTAATCTCAGTTGAGGTGAGGGATCCCTCCACCTTTTCCTCCTCCTTCTCTGCAGGGGAGATCTCCTCCATAGCTTCTTGCTGTTGCTCATGATGCAGGTCCGTCAGCCGTTGGTGGTCAGCTCCTGGCCATGTTCCTCCACCTGCTCTCGAATATCATCCTCATTCACCTCCAGGCCCCTGGTCTTCCCCAAGGACACACTTTCATCGACAATTGGTGGCTCTTGTTCATGAGCAAGCCCTTCTGAGTCATGTCCAAGAACGCAATTGGGCCGTAGTTTTCTACAAGCAGAATTGAGGATTCTCTTGGTGACCCCACGCTAGGCTCTATCAATGATCCTGAGCCACTTCACGATGTGGAAATGATTTTTCCAAAACTCTTGGAGGGTAACGTTTGTTCCTTCAGTCACCTCGAATCATTGCTGAAATAGCGCTTGGGTGTGAAGCTTTTTAAAGTTCGAAATGGGGGCGCCTAGGGGGCGCAGTCGGTTAAGCGTCCGACTTCGGCTCATGATCTCACAGTTCGTGGGTTCGAGCCCTGCATCAGACTCTGTGCTGACTGCCAGCTCAGAGCCTGGAGCCTGCTTCAGATTCTGTGTCCCTCTCTCTCTCTGCCTCTTCCCCTGCTCACTCTGTGTCTGTCTCTCAAAAATTCAATGTTAAATTAAAAAAAGAAATGAGGGGTGCCTGGGTGGCTCAGTTGGTTAAGTGTCCGATTTTGGCTCAGGTCATGATCTCACTGTTCTTGGGTTTTAGCCTTTCATCAGGCTCTGTGCTGACTGCCAGCTCAGAGCCTGGAGCCTGTTTCAGATTCTGTGTCTCCCTCTCTTTCTGACCCTCCCCTGCTCACGCTGTCTCCCTCTCTCAGAAATAAATAAAACATTTAAAAATTTTTTTAAAAAAAGAAAAGGTTTCTTCTCCCCAAGAGAAGATTCCATTTCATGCTAAAAAATAAAAAATAAAGTTCACAATGGCCTGCTGACCCATGGGCTGGAGGACTGGAGTGGTGTTGGGAGGAAGGAACTTGACCTTAACGAATTTGAATTCCTCAAGCCTGGAGGATGAGCAGGGGCATTATCCATAACCAGCAAGGCTTTGAGTGGCAGATTCTTTTCTAAAAGGTACAGTACGTGTAATTCTCCAGAGGAGGGGGGCACACACACAATGCCTCACAGAGGCATTACGGGGAAAAGCCAGGGTCTGTCGGAGGCAGGAATAGGAGGAAATCACCAGCTTGAGCCTTTATTATGGTTTTTGCAGGAAGAAATAGGTGAGGCAGGGTAGGCAAGCTGAAACATTTAGAATCGGCTAATTTGAATAATTTTGGTGGGCTCTGGGCTCTACAGGTGTTTCCTAGTTGTCTGTTACTGTCCCTGGGGTGATTTAGGGCATAGGAAACATTGACTTCCTGTATGCTAAGAGAGATAAAGAAGGTAGTTGGGTTGACTGGTTTGCATATGAAAGTGGACTCAAAAGCAAGTTGTTTGCTATCTCTAGGAATTACCCAACCCTCGGAAGGGTGTCCTCAGCCAGGTTTGCAAGGCCCTACGGTGTGAAAGCATCACAAATTACAGAAAATTAAAAACACGATGAATACACTCTCCACTGAAAGTAAAGAACAATCACAATAGCTAACATTTATTGAGTGTCTGTTTTGTGTCAGGTACTATGCTCAGTCCTTCATGCATGGACTTCTACCAGCAGCCCGTTGAGGAAGGTACAGAGGAGGAAACTGAAGCACCGAGAAGTTAAGTTGTCCAAAGTCACACAACTAAGAAAAGTAGCAGAACTGAATAATCTTATCTTATGGTCCTAACCCTTAGGCAAAGCTGCCTAGCGGATAGGTAGCGGTTCTAAAAGCCTGGCCCAACAGAGTGCCCCATCAGGGGACAAAGACTGGACATATAAATTATCATGTAGCTCTATTGAGGTATAATTTATAGGAATAGACAGCACATATTTAAGTGCATAAATGAAAATTTGTTAAATTTTTTTTAACACTTATTAATTTTTGAGAGAGAGAGAGAGACAGAGCATGAGCACGGGAGAGGCAGAGCCAGAGGCAGACACAATCCAAAGCAGGCTTCAGGCTCTGAGCTGTCAGCACAGAGCCATCAACGCAGGGCTCGAACCCACAAACTGTGAGATCATGACCTGAGCCAAAGTCAGAGGCTTAACCGACTGAGCCACCCAGGCGCCCCAACATAATTTGATAAGTTTTGACACATGTGTACACTTTTAAAACCATCACCACAATCAAGATAACAAATATTTCCATAACCCGCTAAACTTTCCCTGTGGCTCCTTTTAATTCTCCCTCCCTCCAACCCTGTTCCCAGACCTCCTTTCTGTCACTATAGATTATTTTTATTTTCCTAGAATTTTATATAAATAGAATCATATATGCTGTGT